CCCGTAGGTGATAAGGTTACCAGACTGTTTTCTTTCGATAGTGAGGTGGTACCAAACATATTACATAGCATTATTTTAGACTATACCGGATAAGGTATAGAGGTAGGGGGGGGGTGGAGGGGTAAGGTTGCCTGGCAATCAAGGTCCTGAATCTGCAGCTAAACACCTAAAAATAGACCTAGACTCACGTGGATATATGATGCAGATAAACACCTAAAAGATAGACATAAGCTCTGGATATCTGATGCAGATACACGCCTAAAAGATAGACCTAGACCAGGGGTCGGCAACCTTTTGAAGCGGAAGAGCCAAAAGTTACAATTTTCAAAATTTCCCTGGTTTTTAAGGGCCAATAACATTTTTTTAATTTAAAATATTATTTTTTTATTAAGATTATTAGTATTTGTTCAAGGAGCTGGAGAGCCGCATCTTGATATCAAGGTTGCAGGTTGCCGACCCCTGACCTAGACACAAGGCCGGCGCTACCTATAAGGTGAACTAAGCGGTCGCCTAGAGCGCCATTCATACGGGGGCGCAACAATATGTAAACGCCATTATGAAAAAGTACATAATAACTTTGCGTAGCCATCTATTTCGTCGCCCAGGACGAACTATCAATCTTGTACCCCTCTTTAAATTAGGCCTATAAATAGTTTTTGGCGTTGGGAAAATGCGCCCCCCCCCCACATTCTTCTCATTTGGACAGGACGGGGCGCTTTTTACCAGTCAATTTGTCTTTTTATTTTGGTGTTCCACAAAAGATATAGAAAACAATTATGTCCGTAGGTGTCCCACAAATTATATAGAAAACAAGTCCGTAACGAGCTTTTTATATTATTACCTACTGCGTTTGGCGCCCTCCGATAGCTTCGCCCCTGTTAAAATAATGAGATTATTATTGTATATAATCTAAATCTTTTAATTTCGAACATTTCAGATGATTATCTAATTTTAATGTTGACTTTGACTTTGTGATCGCTCCATCGTGAAATTTTGATTTTTTAATAGGGCTTGTAAGTCTCGTTTTCTCTCACTTTGAATTAGAAATCTCGTAAGCCAGGGACAGATTTAGATTTTCAAACTAAATTAACTATTGCCACCACAAGATCCTAAACAGAATTTCAAGGTAGAATTAGTCCACATATCTTGGATATGGGTATAGCCTACAATCTTTGGAAGAAAGGCTCCGACAATTAGAGCAACATACATAATATACTATTTGGCTTTCTTTATGACATGTCCACTATCAGCAATATGACACCTGCGGATAAACTTACTGACTTCAGGCATCTAGAAACGTCGTTGACACATAATGTAAATAAAGATACTGATGCTAATGATTTTTGCAAGCATGAGCTTCAAGTAATAACTTCCTAAGCATATGTCACCATGAGATGTGATTCGAAAAAAATTGCGGGGGAGGGGGGAGTTTTCATAAGTTTTGCCTAGGGCGCTAAATAACCTGGCGCCGGCATTGCCTACACATGTGGATATCTGATGTAGATACACACCTAAAAGATAGAACTAGGATCTGGATACCTAATGCAGATATACACCTAAAAGATAGAACTAGGATCTGGATATAAATTTAGAATTTTTTTTTGTTTCGGTGTGTTTATAACCTTATTATGAAAGTTTTTGAATTATTTGTTTAATTTTAAAAATTATTGTATAACTTTTTTTTTGCTTAGACATGTAATTTACAGCGTCATTTTGCCTTGCATGTTCACTTTAGTATTACAGTTTTTATCATCGGCTTGTGAGGACTGATACAGATTTACAATAGAAATACTTCTTTCTGATATGTACTTTCACTCATTTAAGATGGTTTACTTATACATTATACAAAACGTCTAATTACAATTTTATTTTTAAACCTGAAAATGTAAATGTGTAATTAAATGGTGATTCAACTATAGAAGGGTATTTTTTCGATTGGGGGTTGGGTTGATGGGGTATGGACTGGAATAAATTTGGGGGGAAAGAAAAATAATATTATAAATATTACAAGCAGTCTGGAAGATATGTTGAGTACAATGAGACACATCAAATCAAACATTCTTCCCTTTCATATAGCTATATCTATAGCAGTCCTCCCACAGTTTTATATATATTTTTTTTTTTGTATTTTTTGTATTAATTTATTTTGAACCTTTAAATTAACAATATTTTATTTCTATTTTATTTCGTATGTGTATACAGTTTCGAGATATGAATATAAATCGTACAGTTGGTGATTAAATCAAGGGTCGGCAACCTGCGGTTCACGAGTACCAATTCAAGTTCGATGCAAAAAAAATTAATAATTATTTTATTTTATTTTTACAACTCATTAAAAATATTATAATGAAAAACAACTTTAAATATGATAAAAACACTAACCAGAGAACAAAGAGAGTAGGTGAGGTAGAAAGTATACGGACAGCTGACAGCCGCTTGGGCACCTGGCCCAGCCCTACAGCCCCGTGGCAACAATACCATTCTTGCCACTGCCCAAGTGCCGATTTTTAGCGCAATTTCCATTCTGGAGAATTGCGTTTATTAACCCGTCATTTCTGGATGTATGAATGGATGTGTGTCCGCAGCTTTAAGTCGTATCTCCTCCTCAACGAAGCAATATCGAGGACTAGTTCCAAAAGCAATTATGTTAAGCAAGTTCCAAGGATGATTGTGGGCCAAAAAAATTCCTGGAATTCCTTCCTGGATTTCCCGGAAAAGCCAAAAAACCTCGAAAAATACAGTTTTTGCTCCATATCTCGGCAACCAGACCACTTAGCGACTTGAAACATTTACCATTCGATTCCTGCCATAATTTAAAACAATATTGCCGAAGAAAGTTTTCAAAAATATCCTTTTATTCGGTCGCAAAAAATTAATTAAGAACCTTTAAACTGAGCATCATGTAGGCCTAGGATGATATTTACTACTTTTTTAAACTGAGCATCTTGTAGGCCTACTCGTTAAAATAAAACTATTTCCGTTGATATAGATTAATATAGTTGTCTTTTTTTTTACTTATTAATTCAAACGTTATTTTTGTACTCTATTAGTTTATTTATAATTTAAAAAATTAATTAAGGAAATTGCGCTTAAATTGTCACTAGACTTTTTATTAACTTGTTTTCGAATATCGCTAAATGGGGAATGTTAATTTTATACAGAATGCATTTAGCGGTCAGTATGCCTTAATTTGAACTGATCAACGTGTTTTTTTTTTAGTTATTAACTTCATACGGGTGAGCGGGGTTATGGCAAGGTAGGGTACGAGTTTACCCTGCGTTCAGTGGGGTGGAAGATAAGCCCGGTGAGAGCCGAAGGACAGAAGCGACCGATACCCAAGCCAGTTAGTCGTAGATGGTCGTGTTTAGGCCTGCCTGGCTATGGGAGACACCTCATTGGCCAGTGGTGTCCGTAAAAAAAGAAAAGAAAAAAACGCTATTAGCTTCTTCAGTGGAATGGGATAGTCGTATAGTTATATTATTTGATTACTAATTTTAATACTTTAATATGTTTTGTGCGAAATATTAGTATGTTTTAAGTATAAATATTCTTTCATAAATAAGCTATCTCTTTCATATCAAATTTATATATATATATCCTAATCAAATACCAAAATATTGTAATACGAAAAATGTTAGCGGCTCTTTAAAAACTAGGAACTTTGAAAATTGTAACTTTTGTCTCCTCCGGCTCAAGGGGGTGCCGTCGCCTGGTGTGAATCAAATTGGCTAAAGGAGTAGCCTATACATTTAAATAGATAAAACAATAACTATAGAATCCCAACAATTACTTTTGCCAAAATGTCGCACGTCTTCAGAATTCATATAAAATAAATTATTACCTTTTAAATTTTGAATACATAAAAATTCAATGTTTAACATTAAACATTTCTAAAACATTAGATTTTTTAAATATTATCATTTTATTTGTTTACAAAATATACATTTTTATTTAGTATTTTAATACTCAAATGTTTTAAATTAATTATTTTAAAACTTGGTTAAATTCTAATATTGTTATTTCCCTTAGTATTTTAAAAATATGAAAGGGGATGTAATGAGCACAGTTCCATACACTAACATTGTCTACACTAGGTGGAACATTTCTTAGGGAGTCTTCAGTGTGGCTATTCTTGTAGGAGATGGATTACTCTGATTATATTCCCAAATTGCTTTGAACTTCTAAGGTTTATAAGAAAAAATCAAGGAGAAGACAGGAGTGGATCCCCGTAGGTGATAAGGTTACCAGACGGTTTTCTTTCGATAGTGAGGTGGTACCAAACATATTACATAGCATTGCTTTAGACTATACCGGATAAGGTATAGAGGTAGTGGGGGTGGGGGGTGGAGGGGTTAGCTTGCCCTGGCAGCAAAGGTCCTGAATCTGCAGCTAAACACCTAAAAATAGACCTAGACTCACGTGGATATCTGATGAAGATACACACCTAAAAGATAGACCCCCCCCCCCCCCCAAGAAAGATCCCCCCAACCCGCAATTGGCACGTGAGTCTAGACTTTCCACTTGAACCCACTCCCTCTCCCATAAGGGGTCATCCATTTATGACATCCACATTTTTTTTTATTTTGGACCCCCCCACACCCAACCTCGTCCACAAAAATCCCCTTTAAAACCCCACCCGCGTGGATGACCCCTTAACTGACACATTAGACTTTCTACCCGACCTCCCCCCCCCCTTTAACTGACATATATGTATAGACATTCTACCAGTCCCTCCACCCCCCCCCTCATAAACTGACACATTGTATAGACATTCTACCAGTCCCTCCACCCCCCCCCCATAAACTGACACATTGTATAGACATTCTACCAGTCCCTCCACCCCCCCCCCCATAAACTGACACATTGTATAGACATTCTACCAGTCCCTCCACCCCCCCCCCCCCCACCCCCATAAACTGACACATTGTATAGACATTCTACCGGTCCCCCACCCCCCACCCACCCCGTCTTGTAACAGACACACCGTCTTGACCACCCACCTGACGATGTTGTCCACGTCTGCGCTACTGCTGTACGTCTTGACCGAGTCGGCCGTCAGCTGGCGGGCAAGTTGGTTCCTCTTGTGGCGTCTGGCCCTCGAGCGTCTCTCGTCAAAGTCTGTACTACTTCCTGTTCCAGAGAACGATTCTCGCGCTTATTTGTTTGTAACTATCAGTATTGATATTGGCTGTTAACATTTGGGTGATAGGGGCAGAGTCAGTGGCGTAGCCCGCAATTGGTCATGGGAGGGGTTCAAATATTTTTCCATATGTATAAAGTTATATAAATATATATATATATATATATATATATATATATATATATATATATATATATATATATATATATATATATATATATATATATATATATATATATATATATATATATATATATATATATATATAGGGGTGTGAGTCCATGGGAGGGGTTATAACCCCCCCTAACCCCCCCTTTGCCTACGTCACTGGAAAGAGTAAATGTACATATTAAGAAAAGTGGCGCTCGTATATCGATAACAGCAAAAAAATAATAATTCGATACTGCCATGCTGGAGGTCAAATCACGATTTTTTTTCTAAGTAATATTTTTGTTTTAAACAGTCGTGTTTTTAGTTTATATAGTTCTACGACGTTAGCTATTATTTGTGTAATTCTCTGATTTTTTTTCTACTTAATATTTTGTTTATTTTTAAAATAATAATGTTTTTGTTGACACAGACGTATGAAGTTAGCTATTTATGTAATTCTCCAATTTTTTTCTGAGAAATATTTTTTTAAATAATCGTGTTTTTGATGATACAAACGAATGAAGTTAGCTATTTATGTGATTCTCATAACTCTTCATCTCGGTAGGTTATTTTTTTTTTAATTTTAATACGATTGCAAACAAAAAAATGTTTTTATTTTTTATTTACTAGAAAGAAACCCTAAAATTTTGTCACGAAACAAACTTTTAAATAATACATAATTTAAAAACACGTATGAATGACAGTGTTTGAGGTGGTTTCGAACCCACGCCTTTGACGTTTTCGCTTACCTGAGAGCACAGAATCACCAAGGGATGAGTTGGACCCGAACACGTCATCACTATGGGGGTGGGTGAGGTGGCCGGGTGCACCTGGACGGTTGGGGCGTTCGGTAAACAACACAAACAGACGATACACCTGGGGAGATAAAGGGTTAAGTGACCTAGCGAGGACGTAAGGGGTGCACAAACAGACGATACACCTGGGGAGATAAAGGGTTAAGTGACATAGTCAGGACGTTAGGGGTTAACTGGACTAAATTAGTACGTAAGGGGATACCGATTGTTCGGTACCATCTCTCTATCGAATGGAAACCGTCTGGTAACCTTATCATCTACGTAGTTCCACTCCTGTTTTTCTCCTTGAAGTTTTCTAATAAATCTCAGAACCTCAAAGCAATTTTGGAATAGAATCAGAGTAATTTATCTCCTAGTATAGAGAACATTAGTGTATGGAGATGTGCTCATTACATTCCCGTTCGAATTTTTAAAACACAAAGGGAAATAACAATATTTGATTTTACCAAGTTTTTAAAAATAAATAATAATTAAAACATTTTGAGCATTAAAATATTAAATAAAAATGTGCATTTTGTAAACAAATAAATCATAATATTTATAAAATCTATTGTTTTATTAATATAAATTATAAACATTGAATTTATATATATTCAAAATATAAAAGGTGTTTTTTTTATTTTACATATATTCTAAAGATATGAGAACATTTATTTGTAACGATTAATCAGTTAAAATTCAAAATTATTGTGTATTTCCAATTGGAACCTTGTGTGTATTAGTCACATTTTCCCTACATAGTAAATGCTTCACTGTCCCATTGACCCTCTCTGAAAAATGTCCCTTCCTCTCCCCACCCAGACTTCTGACACTTTCTTTTGACCTCCACCCCTTTTACTGTCATCCTTTGCAATTTTTTTTATTATTAAATACATGACATCATGTAAATATTCATTATGTACATTTGCAAAACCTTTCGTTTTCATTTGGTGTTCAAAATTATGTTAAAAAATTTGATGTTGATGTACTTGTTTTAATTGCAAATAAAAGTATTAAAAAAAAAAAAATATTTCCAGATCTATATCAACTCGACGTATAAACCCAAACTCAAACGCCCTCAACCCACCATGCTGTTTTAAAAAATCATTTGATTCACCATTTAATTACACATTTGCATTTTCAGGTTTAAAAATAAAGTTGAAATGATAAAAAAAAAATAAAAAAAAATAAATAAATGTAAGTCCTTTTCCTTTATACCTGTTTATAATTTCTTGTGTGTGTTGCCAGGCCCCGGGTGGGTACTAAGTCCGGTATTAAGTTGAGATGTAAAGGGTTAACACATATTATCTTCTGAAGTAAAAGGTTTACCAAAAAATATAGGCATAAAGGGTTAACAGGAGTTGACCGTATGGGCGGCGGACACCCAGGTACAGTTTGCCCCACTGCGTCCCTCCCCCCCCCCCCCCCACCGAAGCACATCTACCCAACCCCCACCCGAAAAAAAAGGCTTGTAAGTGTAAGGTATTCCATTTCGTGTTTATGCTAATGCCGGAAAGTGTTGTGGACAAAGGGAAACAACCAAGTTAATATTTTTTTACAAAATAATCAAAGCTAGGTTAGTTCCTTTTAATTTTAAAAAAGATTTTAGGAGCCTTATTAGGAGGCCGAAATTTTTCTTTTTTAAACATTTTTTAAAGAAACTTTCCCTAGGCGTATTCTCAAAAAAGTCCCAGAGTTTCACTGCGATCGGAATCACACACACACACACACACACACATATATATATATATATATATATATATATATATATATATATATATATATATATATATATATATATATATATATAGGCCTATATATATATATATATATATATATATATATATATATATATATATATATATATATATATATATATATATATACTTTCATGCTTATATATAGAGCTAAACATTTTTAATTTAAAACTATGACATTTTGGGTTAGCTGAACTTCTGGGATAAAATTGTTGTTGCATGGGTAAGTATATATGTGGGGAATACAGTTTAGAGGAGTTACTTTATTCAATCGAGGAACCACAAAAACCGTTCAAAAAATTACATAAAAGGTTTAAGGAAAAAAATAATAATAACATTAGTCGAACTACAATTATCATTAAAGGAACCATGAAACCCGTTAAAAGAAGCACAAAACGGGTTCAAGAGAACGGTTCCAGGAACCCCGAGAACTCACCTGTAGAACCAGCACGAGCGAGTTCTTGCAGGTGAAGAAGATGTTGGTGTAGCTGAGCACGTCGTACCTGAAGATGAGCAGCATGCGGAGCACGAGGAACGGGGCGTCCTGCAGCGACACGCTGATAAAAATAGAGATCACCTGAAACAAAATAAGCTCGTCACATGATTGGTATTTATAGATTTTTGTTTACAGCGATCTGCGTAAAGACCTTAACATGAGTGCACCGTTTTACTCGGGACTGAGGCAGCATGCATTAATATGACAGCATTCTCAACTACACGTTACAATAGTTTACTTTAAAAAAAAAAAACTCACTATTACCTACAGGATTAAACAACACTTTTCTATGGAACGAATCTATGAAACTGTACAGGAATACATTAAATTAGCGAACATTATATTATATATCTTATATATATATTATATACACATGTACATGTATACACCTCTACAGCTTAATAAACCCCAAATACATTTCAATCACCACTCACTTTAACTGGAAAAAACACCTCTCACCTCAACATAGGCAACACCCGTCACCTTAACTGAACAACACCCTCCCCCTCCACACCTCAGCAGAAATACAGAGCAAAACAAAACCCCTTACCTCTATATAACAACACGTCTTTCTTTAACAATACAACACCACATCACATCAACAAGGCAACAATTCTTACCTCAACAGGACACCCCCAACTCACCTCAATATAAAAAAACCCTACCTCAACTGGACCACACCCCTACCTCAACTGGACCACACCCCTACCTCAACTGGACAACACCCCTACCTCAACTGGACAACACCCCTACCTCAACTGGACAACACCCCTCCACCTCATCACGATGTGCCACCGACGCCCTACCTTAACTGGACAACACCCCTACCTCAACTGGACAACACCCCTCCACCTCTTCACGATGTGCCACCGACGCCCTACCTTAACTGGACAACACCCCTACCTCAACAGGACAACCCCTCCACCTCATCATGATGTGCCACGGACGCCCTACCTCAACTGGACAACACCCCTACCTCAACTGGACAACACCCCTCCACCTCATCATGGTGTGCCACCGACGCCCTATTTCAACTGGACAACACCCCTCACCTCAACTGGACAACACCCCTCCACCTCATCATGATGTGCCACCGACGCCCTACCTCAACTGGACAACACCCCTCCACCTCATCATGATGTGCCACGGACGCCCTTGACTTCTTGGACTTGGTTGCCGTGACGACGAGCGTGAACTGGATCAGACTGGCCGTCCACAGGGACAGGATGACGATGGTCAACAGCACGTTCTCACGGACCGTCTGCTCCTGCAGACGACAGCAGCACGTCACGTGTGGTCAAAGTGTCAACTACACATGTCATAGTTGGTCAAAGTGTCAATAACACATGTCACATTCAAAGTGTCAATGCCATACGTCTGAGGCGTAGCGACAAACTTTTCGATTTGCACCCCCCCCCCTCATGATTTCGATTTGCAACCCCCCCCCCCCTCAAACTTTCGATTGCACCCCCCCCCTAAAGATTTCGATTTGCACCTCCCCCCCCCCCCCCACACACACATACTTTCGATTTGCATCACCCATTCAACCTTTCAATTTATTTTTCCAACCCATTTTGGCGCCCCCTCCTTGCTACGCTACTGCCATGCGTCACATTCAAAAAGTCAATTCCACATGTCAGATTCAGTCTCATTTCCACATGTCACATTCAAAAAGTCAAGTACACATGTCACATTCAAAGTGTCAATTCCACATGTCAGATTCAGTCTCATTTCCACATGTCACATTCAAAAAGTCAAGTACACATGTCACATTCAAAGTGTTAATTACACATGTCACATTCAAAGTGTCAATTTACACATGTCACATTCAAAGTGTCAATTTACACACGTCACATTCAAAGTATCAAATTACACATGTCACATTCAAAGTGTCAATTTACATGTGTCAATTATACAAGTCACATTCAAAGTGTCAATTTACACATGTCAAAGTGTCAATTCTACATGTCACATTCATAGTGTCTGTTCTAACAGATGATTATCACTGCACTCCCTTTATCATCTTCTTTGAACAAAATAATAAAACTCTCCATCTTCTGATATCCCCCCCCCGCCCCCGCCCCACCCACTTTCTTCTCACCACTTAATCAATGTTTCTTCCATACGTTTTTCTCCGGGGGTGCACTTGAAATGTTCAGGAAGGCGGACTCAAATTTCCGGGGGGGGGGGGGTCACTGTTAAAAGTATATATTATCTATTTAAATATCATTTCCTTCGGGGGGCGGTAGACTTTCTCCGGGGGGGGGGGGGGGGATCAGCCCCCGAAGAGATATCTGGAAGAAACTCTGCACTCAATTGATGCTAAATTTCAGTTAAGAAGGCACCACGAAGAACCAAATATTGCACAAAACTACAATATTTCTATTTCGTGTTTCTTCTTTTTTTTTTTAACCATTAAGCAAAGAATTTTTACCAAGAACCGTTTATAAAAAAAAAAATTAAATATTTTGTTTTCGCTTTTTAAATTCTGATAAAGACCAAGTGTCAAAACATATTTTTAAAAATCAATTTTAATAAATACTATTTATAATTCATGCCTTTCTACTTTCCTCGATTGCTAAACACAACGCTTACTTTGAAAGCCTCGAACAGCTCAATAATATCAGCCGCCATGCCAATGTAAACCAACAAGAGTTGTGACAGTTGTTCGCGAGTGATCTCCCCTTTCGGCAGCAGCCAGCGACCTATTATAAGAATTAACAGCAACATCTGTTCCAGAATTTTGCACCATTCTTCGGAACCGAGCGCTATGGGAATGTTGATCTGTTTGAGATGAGAGAGTATTGCTATTATTAGAAATGTGGCTTTTCCGTTTTAGTCAAGCGTATGAAGTTAGGTGGTTGTCACACATATATAGCTTAAGCGTATCTCTTAAAAGATAATTAATTATAGCGGCGTATGAGGAGAGGAGTGTGTGTGTGGAGGGGGGGGGGGGCAGTTTTTCTTTGAGATATTTTTTTCTTCGACGGAGGGGGGGGGGGTGTACTTTAAACTTCTGTAGACCAAACTTAAATTTTAGGGGGGGGGGGTGAGGGCGGACACTGGTTAGAGTATATGTTTTCTATATAAATTATACATGTTTCCGGGTGGTGGTGGGAGGGGAGAGGGAGCAGTACCACTCGAAAAGATGCCTGAAAGAAACCCTGATGTGATTATGAGGGTAGCTAATTATAACGTAAGGCAGTCCGTGTAATTTAAGGGTGAATAAATCGCTGCACTAAAAAAACGAATGTGCGCTGTCCTAATTAAACTAGTTTTAGCAATATAGTAGTCTCTTAGAATTTAGATCTTTGTTTAGTGATCCTTATTTTTTTAACATTAATCCTAATATATAAAACCCCACGTTCGCACCTCTCTCTCTCTGTCTGTCCGCAAAATATTTTCGCCGGACATCACGTCAGAATCGGCAGCGATATATGGATACCTTTATACGGACTTTTGTTGAAAATAATATACTAGATGTTTTAAATGTATAACCACAATTTTATTTAAAGAAGAAAAATAAAAAATAAAGGCGTATTCGAATGTAGAGAAACAGTATTATTTGTGCAACCGGAAAAGTGTATAAACTTGGGACAAGAGCGCAATTAACAATGACGTCGCTTATTGTTTACACTAAAAAAAGAGCACAAAACTGATGACGTCGTCTTCCGAGTTTAGAATAAAAAGAAATGAACTATTTCATTCAAATATGATTTAGAGCTATGTACGCTATGAAATGTAGACTACACAATACGATATTCTCGGCCTAAACTTAAAAAAAATTATTTTATCTATTTGAATTCTAGATCTAGAGATTCTAGATCTAGATATTGATCTAGATCTAGATATTCTAGATCATCTAGATCTAGAGATTCTAGATCATATAGATCTAGAGATTCTAGATCTAGATGATCTATAAAGCTAAGTTGTCGGGTGCCCTATCGGGCACTTCCAGGCGCCGCAGGCGCTTCAAATTTGGCAGGATCTTGCCTTGGGGCGACAGAACACGGGGGCCGGTTGGCCGAAAAGTCTACGATGAGGGGGTCAAAACTGACCTCGACTGACCGGCGCCTTATATGGGCGAATTAATTAAGCATTCAAATTCTCAATGTTTTCGAAAGCCTAAGCGAAGCTGGGCAGCATGCCTAGTTAAATATATAATTAGGGATCATCCATATGGGTAACGCTTTTTAACAATTGTTACCCCCCTCCCCTTCCGTCAAAAATCGGCAAAAAAAACTAAGGCCTTATTCTCTCTTTCCCCCCCCCCCCCCCCCACACACACACATCTCTTAAACGTCGTCACACTTCAGCCTACAATCCCTATAAATTGCAGTTTTTCGGGGGGGGGGGGGGGGGGGGGGGGGGGTTAACCATCAATAATTTTTTTCTAAACTATTTACTGAGCTCTGTAAACATTGAGTATAATAATTAACTTCTCTTAAAATTAAACAAAAAAAAAAACTATCTTTTAAAAACGTGCAGTAACAACTAATATTCAGTTCCTGAAATTAACTTTATTTTAAAATTAGATCTCGACTAGATCTAGATCTGTAATCTATTATCAAAATCATCTACCAAACACGAGAAGTCTAGGCCTACTACTAGATCTAGATTCGATCAAGTAGGGCCTATAGTGTTTTGACCTCACCTAGATCTAGATCTATTTAAAGAAAAATAAAGGCTTTTCCGCGAAGCTGACCTAGATTCTACAGTATTGCGCGCTATATAACAGATCGTTTGTGCTTAGTTTTAAGGACAGCTTAAAACACAGCATCTTTGACATAACTATTTACAAAAGCAGGATAAGAATCTCAACTATTATTTTAATTTTTTAGTAAATTTAATAATGAGCAAAATTTTGTTTTATTGCAAGGTGTCCCCGAGTTTGGCCTCTTAAGAGTTCAATTGTATGACACCGGCCGGTTAGCTCAGTTGGTTAGAGCGTCGTGCTAATAACGCGAATGTCGTGGGTTCGATCCCCATACTGGCCAGATATTTTTTTTTTTTTTTGCGTTTTTCCTCACAGTGTCGTTTGTTTTAACTGATTCATAGAACTAGTTTCCATTTTACTTTACAATTCGTTGCATACAATCGTTAACTGTTTATAGAGATTATATTAGCAGAAAGGAAATGTTTTTATGCTTTTATCCTTTATAATTTGTATACAATTACTGTTGAATAATGACGACAAGGTTGTAATGAGTCTACGATCTAAACGAAAAGAGTACAAAAAAATATTCTAAGGAACAATTAATGCGAATGGGAGTGGGGGCGGTGTGGATTGTTGCTAATGATATCTAGACAATCCGTCATCCCTATACGTTATGAGAACTGCCCTGTCAATATTACGTTATTTGACCACAGCTTTCCATGTCTCCGGTAATTGCTTTACTCTAAAGTGCAACTTTATATGTGTTCATTGTGTCATCGGCATTAACTGGGGTCAGTCTCGGTACTAGCAGTTTTCTAGTTTTGATTTAGAGCCTAGTTTTCTGGACTGTATGCATGTTTAATCATTTCACCCAACTTACCCCCCCCCCCCCTCCTTTCCACACACACATATATATATATATATATAGTATATATATATATATATATATATATATATATATATATATATATATATATATATATATATATATAAACACACACACATTTCCATAACCCACTCACCCAAAACAATAGTAATAAGCATAAGATTCCTCAACAACTTTCAGCTTAGCCACCACCACCCCCCCCTCTGACCTGTCACCCAGACCCCCCTCCCAACAACCCTTACCGCAACCTATAACACCTCCCTCCGATAATCACCTGATACCCCCCCCCCCCCCATACCCACACTGTCACCCGTAATCCCATTCTAACCAATCACCCGGACACCCCCCCCTCTAAAAACACACAAAAAGCCACCCGACCCCCCCTCCCCCCCAACACACCCAAAGCCACCCGGACCCCCCCCCCCCCAAACACACACACACTGTCACCCGGACCCCTCTCCAACCAATCTCCTAGACACCCCCCCCCCAGATCTATCTACCCCCTCCCCCCCCCCCCCACCCCCTCACCCCACCATACCCAAGCTATTCATATTTAGATCGTAAGAACTACTTTTATTAAAGTTGAGTTAAGATGTTCTTCCTGGATACCAGCTATACTCTTTCATTGACTTACACATTCAGATGAGTAAGTATTGTTACATCATAGCCGACGCCCATACTACACTCTCACCCGCTGCCCCGTCCCCCTCACACACACACACCCCATCACACATACACACGCTACCCATCCCCACACGCACACACAACACACACACACATTGGGCTTAATAAACCAAGACATTTTATGTAAAAACTGTCAGACATTGCATCAACCAGGTATTTAGAATATTTGTCTTGCTTTATGTTAACTATGAAAAAGTAAAGTTCC